TTTTATAAATATTCTTGGTACAGTTGTTGAGTAAAGCTATGCAATAAACTCACACTGTCCATCCAAACCAAGCCAATAAAGGTGCTTCATCTTAGACAACTTTGTGAAAAACCAAAATTTGTCATTTGAAACCACTGTCAGCTCCTCTTCATTCCTAACAGTGGCCCTCTATACCATCAGGTAAAATGCAAAGTATTCAGAAAGCCAGAATATTTAATAAAAGAATACAATTCTTGCGATAAAAACCTATAAGTCATTTTGATTAGTGTTTCTGATTTCACCAACATCATCTGGAACTATTGACATGTTGTTGTTGTTGTTGTGTAGGAACTGACCCAGTGGGTTTTCGGAGGCCGTTAATCACATGGGAGGAGATTGTCCATCCTTCTCCCGTGAAGCAGTTAGTGGCTTCCAACTGCATCCTTTGGGTGCGCAGCACAAATTACCACCTCTGTTAAATACTGGAAATCATTTATGCAATGATTTCTGTGAAGAGTAAACAAAGATAAAATACATAAACAGCCAAGCAGGTTTGTGCATATATTACCAAGTCAATAGACAAGTCATAGACAGTAGACAAATTTGTGCGTGTGTGCGTGTGTACACGCAAGCATATACTTCAGTACACATGTGTGGTAAAACACATGTTGAATTAAAACATAATCTTGGGAGTCAGATACAATAAGTGATTCCTTTAGATTTAGTTGTATACATACCCTACATTGATTTATTACTAATAGACTAGCAGTAATAACCTGATCAAGGATTAATTCACCTTTATTTTTTTAGCCATTTTTTAAAAATTAATTTTAATGAAAGTTTACAGAGACCTAGGGTTTCCAGTCATTCATTGTTCTCCCTACCTACCCCTTCCCCCCCACCAAATTCACTCTTCTCCTTGAAAAGAAAGAAAAACTCTTTCATTGTTATGCAATCCCTCCCTCTCAAGTCTGCTCCCCTATACAGCCTTCACTCTGGGCTTCTATAATGACAAGAATACCCATTCATATAGCCCTTTTAAATAGTTCTCTCCCTCATCTGTTTCAATGCCATGTACACCATTCCTCCCTTCCTTTTCTGTCTTCCATCAACCCTGATGTCAGTCCCATTTTACAACAGTGGCCCTATCCAATATTTGTCCTTTTGTGACGGAGATATTTCACTCAGCATAATGTCCTCCAAGGTAACCCATTTTGCATAATATTTCATTAGTTCCTTGTTTTTCAATGCTACATAGGATTCCACTGTGTGAATATACCAGAGCTTCTCTATCCATTCGTTTGTTGTTAGGCACTTGGGTTGTTTCCAGCTCTTTGCTATTGCGAACAAAGCCACAATAAACATGCGTGTACATATATCTGCTTGGGTGGCGGTTATGGTTTCTTTAAGGTAAATTCTCAGCAGTAGAATTGGTGGGTCAAATGGTATTTCTATTTGCAACTTTTTGAGAAAGCACCATACAGCCTTCCATTGTGGTTGCACCATTTTACACTTCCACCAACAGTGAATAAGGGTTCCAATTTCTCCATAATCTCTCCAGCATTTGATGTTTGCTGTTCTGCTAAACTTTGTTATTCTTACTGGGGTGAGATGATATCTCATAGTTGTTTTGTAATTCGTCTTTCTTATAGAGAGCAGGTTTGCTTCATTGCAGTACTATTTTCAATAGTGGTTTTATGACCATTACTATTCTGTGGGGACACTGCTTTCACACAACTCTGCTCGTACTTACTTGACAAATTCTTGAAAGAGCCCCAACTTCAGCAATAGATGCTGTGATGAAGGAAAAAAAGGAATGCCAGAATGGACTTTTATGGGACAATTACTTTCCAATTTCAACATACTTTTGGACTCCAAATACTTCTAGCCTGCTTGTTTTCACTTTTCTACATGACTGGCACTATAAAGAAAAAAAAGAAATCTTTCAGTCAAGTGGAAACAGTAGAGTGGGGCATTCCTGTGAAGGTTTAGTTCAATAAACGTGATTCTGGTCTGATGCAACACTGTCCTGGGCTTCTTATGATGAGACTCCTGAAGGGGAAGGTCAGTGTTGTAACATCAGGAGACAAGGTGGCCTGTAGAATATGAAGCAGTTCTGTCCCAACAATTCCATTCAGATGAAGGTCAGGACACAGAGCTCCTGAAATCCTGAAAGGTTTGTGTTTTTCTACTTCTTTCAGCTTTGAGCTCACACCTTTTCTCAGCAGACATCATCTCAGAACCTCTTGTGATGACCGAGGGACCCCACAGTCACATTCACTTTTCATCTTCCAGAATAGAGACCAAGTCATGTGACCTAGAATGTGGACAGATTTGTGGGCTACCCTGAAGGATGGGCACTGCTGTACCCATATGAAAAAGCTTATGCAGAAACTGGGAGGATCATGCCCCCACTTGTGAACAACAAAGTCCAGGACTCAGGAGACACTGTGATCCAACCAACTGGGAGTGGACAGTCTGTCAACTGTGGCTCTCACTTATTGATTCGACTAGTATTTTCAGATAAAGCAAGATCATTCTGGAAACTCTTCAAGATCCATACAGCACCTTCATTACAAATACAAGGGCAATTACATTCTTTCCTTACTTTATCATCAACAAAAAAGAAAAGGCTTTCACAGCTGTCCTTTAGAAGGGTGTTGAATGCATAATGTTAATTCGGCAAGTATTTTATCAACTCTAATAAAAGTTTCTAATATAAGTTACTAAAAGTACTTATTTCATAATTTCTCTCATTTGCACAAAGGGAAAGTGCCTAACTATAGTGGTTTATATCAGGTTTGTTAAAGTGCAGAGAACAGAGGTAATAAAATGCCTGTGGCCTTGCCCAAGAACTGGGAGGGCTCACTGCAGTCTTCCCTCTGCTCCTTCAAGGAGTCTGCCTTCTGGTGCCATTTAACTAAATGGACAATGTCATATGCTTGGACTGGTTCTTTAATTATAGCGTACTCTGATCATGTCTGTATATCTTAAAATACTATACAAAGAAATTTTAATAAATCTTTGTCAGAGTTCTTAGAGAAGAGGAATTTTATCCACACAAGTTTAAAATCCTTTGACAACACTTTTTCCATTGAACATTATGTACCCTCAGTTCTGAAGAGTATGTGGCTTTACAGGAAGATAATGATAGACCCTCCCACACACAAGTCAATGAGTCTTTGCCCTTAGGCAATGCACCCACGTAACACACAGAGACTTTGAGGCAAAGCACTGAGTTCATTACCACCACTCTGGACTGATAAGGGAAAAAATAAAAAGGTTGTGCACCCAACACCTTTACTGGGGATGATGATGGATCATACGACTCTTCAGCTGCTGGATCAGCTGTTAGTTTTCAACATCTGCCTCCAAAAGGAAGCAACTTTGCAATCCAGCATTTCAAATAAGCACCAAGGTCTCTAAGGGACAGAGCTCCTAAGAAGTTCAGAGACAGACGGACCCCCAGGAGTGGGGTTAATTACCTGTATTTGCAGCTATAGATGTTCACTTGGCCAGTGGTGACAATCCCAGGACTCTTGACAGTCACATCAACCGTGGACAGCTGGCTGACTTCCATGGCATACTCTACCACGATGACATAGTGGCCCACCTGTGGGACATGCAGCCGCAGCTGTAGCTCAACCTGTCAGAGAATGAATACAGACACAGCATCACCCACAGGAGAAATGCACTGGACACTTGGATGTATGCAATGATGCAAACAGCTGAGATGACACCCTGAGCATTGTCTTAAATGCCATTATGCTAAGAACTATGGTCTTATATGTATGGTTGCAAGATAAGGAATGTCTTGTTAAATCATTCATTGCTTAACTGGAATTCAAACTTACTGGGGCATTTTACATTTTTATATTCTACATCTGTCATGCCTACTTTGGGGGCTCCTATTCGTATGGAGCTCTGGTTGCCTAGTGGTAAAAACTGTGCTGCAATCTCCAAGGCAAATAGCTCAAACCCACCAACTGCTACACAGGAGAAGGGTAAGCAATCTCTTGTGTGATTAACTGTCTCTAAAAAGCCACTGGTAGGAAAAGGGAAGAAAGACTGGCCTCACTTCCAAAATCACAGACCTTTGAAAACCTAGATACCCAGAGCACACTTAGAGTAGACTAGCAGATATGACATCTGAGGCCACACCCTCAAATTTGAAAACATAAATCAGGAGGAACAGTTGTAAGCTGACACCAATGGTTGGAATGTGAAGTGTGAGAAGTATGAATGTAGGAAAACTGGCCCATACTTTGGGCATGTGACCAGGTGGGACTAGTTGCTGGAGAAAGATATTATGCTTGGAATGGTGGAGGACAAGGAAGGAAAGGAAGACCCCACATGAGATGGATTGACACAGTAACTGGGGTAATGGGGGTAGGTGTGTTGGAGTTAGTGAAGCTGGCTTAGGATAGGGCAGGGTTCAGAGCTATTGTACACAGGGTCACTGAGTTGCAGGCGACTCGATGGACTATAACAACAACAAAAACCCTCTAGAGGGTCAGTTATAAGTCGTTCCAACTCTATGGTACACAACAACAATATCTTCTATGGGGAGCTCTGGTGGCCTAGTGTTAAGACGTTACACTGAATCCCAAAGGTGTGCGGTTGGAATCCACCAGATGCTCCACAGGAAAAAGAATGTCTTCCTATTCGACTTACTATCTGTGAAAACCTGATGGAGAGTCAGCTATGTATGGGTCAGTTCTGACTCAACAGCAAACAACAATATACCTTCTACCTAGGAAAGTCCTTAGCTAATTATTTCTCAAGCAAAAGACACTTCAAGACTTGAACAAGAAAGAATTACCAATGGGAGGTAAGAGGAACAAAAATGTGCCTTAAGGCTCTTTGATGTTCTTCAATTAAAATGAAATTTTAAAATACAGTCAGGTTTTTATGCTTCCAAACAATTTTCTGTGCCTGAGTATGCCTTTTGTTTTGTTTAAAAATAAAAAACTGTGATCACAGTAGACAATATGGATGCTTTTGCACTGTTAACTAAGCGGTTGCAACAGACAACATGACTCATAAAGCCAAACATGTTTACTCTGTGACCTTTTTCAGAAGAAAAAGTATGACAAGCCCTGATAGGATCAACCAATTGGGAACACACAGAAAGGAATGTTCTTTGATGGTTACCAGGGACGGAAGGGGAAGGAAATCACCAACCACATAAGAGACAAATTAGATTGGGTGAAGAGAAAGGCAATGTACAAAAAAGGAGGCTATCAACCCAGTGCCATTAAGGAAAAGAAGCAGAGAATGTACAAGAGTTAATGATCTTTTAAAAAAAAGTAAATACTATTACACCTACAATTTGCCACTTATCATAATTACAGGCATTAATCTGTAACTGTGAGAGAAGGATAGGCAATCTCCTCCCGTGCGATTACCTCCCTCTGGAAAAACCTGCCAGAGGGTCTGCTATGGGTCAGTTCCAACTCTACAGTACACAGCAGCAACAACACTCTGTAACTGGATATTTATGCTGACGGGCAAAACGACCCATGAGCATATAGGCTTGGCGACAGTATTTCTACATTTGTATCTGCATGTGCTGTAAATAAACCCATGTAGTTGGTAGAGCAAAAAGGGGGCACAATTACAAAAACTTTTTATCCATACCCAACATCTTGACGATGGAATCACTGGGCCTGGTTTCTCATTCAAAATAAGCCCATAAGCCACAAAGAAAAGTCTTCACATGGACTATATTTAATGAATCAGACTCCATTTCATTGGAGAGCTCAGATCAGAACACATAAACCATCTACATTAATTAAGAAGTCATTTCTTAGAGGCAAGAAAGGATGGTGAAACTTCGTCTCTTTTCAGGAGATACCAGCCCATAGAGAGAGATAGCATCCTTGTAAAGGTCGATCTATACCTTCAGCAAGACGGATGGACACAATCACTACAGCCATGGGACTGGGAATGATGGAGATTGTGACTGTAGTTCAGGATAGGAGAGGGCGCAGATCTGATGTTCAAAGGGTCACTATGAGTTGTAGTCGACTTGATGGCACTTAACCACAACAACAAACATGCTGAGGGGTGCAACAAGAGTCCCACATGGATTACTTCATTTCCTAGAGCTCATGACAGAGGTACCTTTACTGTATCCACATTGTAGACTACTAAAACGAAGCCCAGCTAGATTGCACGGCTAGTTTTAATGACGATCAACAACTATCAACAAAGTAAGTTAACAGGGACCCAAGACATGAGCCTAGGCAGTTTCATTCTGGAAACCATTCTCTTAACTCACACACTACACCTAGTTTCCAAAATGGAGGGATTATTTTGCCTTGTTCCAGGATCCTTATAAGGTAAGAAAATGAAAAAAGCTATTTTCATGAAGGAGATTTTGGCTTAATAGGGGGGAAAGACTTTTGAAGAATTGCAATTAATTTTTAAAATGGAAGAGGCTACCTCTGAAGGAAGTAAGTCTTCCAGTTTGGTGGGTGGAGGCGGGCGGGGCAGGGGAAGGAAAAATGGGAAGGATTTTGTAAAACATAATGCACGAGAATGATTGTATGAAACACAATGTGAATGAAGAATAGTGTGAAGCACAAGGTATATATGATCTGTAAGCAAACCAATAAAAAAAAAAAGAAAAAAAATGGTACCTTGTTGATGGGGGTGGAGGGGAGAAAGAAAATGACCAAGTATACATAGGTGAACCTTCACTCATAAGCATATAGGCTTGGCAACAATATTTCTACATTTGTATCCGCATGTGCTATAAATAAACCCAAGCACTTGGTAGAGCAAAGGTGGGGGAGTAAGTCCTCATCAATTTAGGTATTTAATAGAAGCTGATTTAGCATCTAAGAAGGAGAATATAAACAGGACTAGCTCTTAGAAATGACAATAATATGTATGGTCTCTGTCCATTATACTCATTACTCCATGAATTTTATTGATATGAATTTTAGCACAATGGACTACAGCTGTTGTTTCTACACAACAGATAGGAATCTTGAGCCAGCCTCACAATCGCTGCTGTGCTTAAAATCATTGCTCCAGCCTAATATTATATCGATCCATCTCATTGAGGAGCTCTCTCTCTCTTTTACTGACTCTCTCCTTTTACAATCATGATTTCCTTTCCCAGGGACTGGCCTATCCTGATAACAAACCCAAAGTCTATTAGAAGTCTCACCAGCCTTGCTTCTAAGGAACAATCCATGATATGTATTCCTTAGCTTTACTTCTAAAACAGATTCCTTAATCTTTTGGCAGTCCATACTTCATGCAATACTCCCTGCCAGCACGATAGAAATTCATCAGTTCTTCCTTGATCTTCCTTACTCATTGTACAACGTTCACAAGGATATGAAGCAACTGAACATGAATCAGATGAAAATATCGGTATATAAATAAATAAATAAATATATTTACATTTATATTTTTATATTATATTTTTTATATTTATGTAATTTTTTTTCCTTGACGAAAATAGTCTCTCACTGTCCAAGAGGGTGGTCACTGGTCATATGAAATTGTAAAGCACTTGAAATGTGGAGAAATGCAACTGAGAAACTGAACTTTAAATGGTTTTTGTTTTTATGTTGAATTATTTCCTTTTTAAAAGTCTTATTGTATCTCTGGTGGCCTAGTGGCAAGAAGCTGCGCTGCAATTGTGAAGGCATGTGGCTCGAGGCCACCAGGTGCTCCACAGGAGAAAGATAGGCAATCTCCTCCCATGTGACTAACTGCCTTTGAAAACCTGCCGGAGGGTCAGCTCTGGGTCAATTCCAACTCGATGGTTTGCAACAACAATGTGTTACTGTGATACATGGAAGCTTCTTTATCTGTTTCTATAAATTTTAAAACTCTTCTAAAATAAAAAATTTGCTTAAAATAGCAATAAAATAATATTTTTTTTCTCTGATTCAGAGGTGGTTGTTGTTTTTAAATTTAAATAGCCAGGTGGAACTAGTTGTTATAGTTTGGAAAACAACAAGCCTGTTAAACATTCAGAGCAGAAGAGACTGTTAACCACCACTGTACAGTCCAGAGCTATTTATGCGGATGTGGGCCCTTCCCAGTTGCTGATCACTAAGGACCTAAGATGAATCAGAGATGAAGAAACTTCCTGATAAATCATTAATATCACTTCCTGGAGGTTGGTCCTTCTTGATATTCCACAGTATTCCATATTGTCTAGGAGGAGAAGACACACACACACACACTTAGCTGTATATGTGGGGGTCTCTGAGTGGCAAAGTTTGTCCTCAATTGCTACCTGAAAAGTTAGAAGTCCAAATCCACACAGCAAAGAAAATCTCAAAAGATTACAGTCAAGAAAACCCTACTCTGTAAGACATGGGGTCAGAATCCACTCAACAGCATAAGAGAACAACATGTGTACGTGTATATTTGTGTATATATGTATGTATATGTGTGCCTCCACCTGTGTGTGGGGGGGGGGGAATACTGATAAAGAGAAACTGAGTAATTAATATCAGAATGAAGAGGAGAGAAGATTATTCCTTATGCATGTTATTTACAACAGACACTATTCTGAAAAACAAACATTATAAAAATGAAATGAAGGCTTTACTTAGCAATATCTTAAAAGTCCTGCACCTACTACCCTCAAACTGTCAGGAACATAGTTTACTAAAATGCAAACTTTAAATGTTCAGTGAGTACTGACTGTACCCATATTTTCATTCCACAAATTTAATCCTCCAAATGACCACCTTTTTCAAAGGTACAAAACAGGATGTTGCAGGACTGAAGAGCAGTGGAAAATGGTTTCTTCAGAGCCTTTCTTTTGAGGTGGTATATTGCTGATATCATATGCTTCTAACTCAAAGCTGACATCTGTAGAGTCCTAAATTTGGTTAGAGGCTCAGAGAATCTTCTGGAAGGATATCAGTGGCAAGACCTGTCCAACAAACCTGTAAGAGCCTGTCCTCCAAATCGTGACGTAAGTGCCTTGGGCTTAGCAGTTCCAGATTCTGAGCTCGAGGAATTCAGCGGTTACAAATCCCCTATCCTGAGGGATAGGACAGTCACTGAGTGTCACATCCTTTTAGGGTAAACAAAATTTTCTGGAAGCCTTTTAAAAATGGCTCATCTGTTGTGTTTTTTTTAAAGGAGATCTTGACCTGAATTGGGTAGTGCCAGATGCTTCCCTGAAAACTGAAGTCATGGAAAGAAGATGCCAGGGTGGTCCATTCCCTGGCCATATGTGGACAGTGCTTTCAAAAGACAGTTCAGTGGACACCCAGGCCAGAGGCACGTCAAATCCAAGAACTCGACCAACTTGTGATTAAGGCCTCAGGGAAAAGGCCCCTATGTCTGAGAAGGGAACTCTGATGGCCTAGTGTGTAGAGAGTTATGCTGAAAATGCGAAGGTCACATCTCTCTCTCTGCTGGTTAAAGAGCAGCGCAACAAAATGTACAAACAGCTTCTCAAGAAGAAGATGGGCCACATCCTCCAGTTCACTTTACAACCTCGGAAACTCGTGAGTCAGCACAGTCAGTTCTGACTGAAAGGCAGTGAGTTGGAGTTTTGAGAAATGTAAGGACTCTAGTCAATGTGTCTTCAGCAGACACAGACAAGGAGGTTGTAACAGCCTTACAGTGAGACATAAAGAGGTCTTACCTCTCTCCCACTGAGGTCCACCATGACGGGGTGTGCTGGGGTGAGCTGCCTCGCCACCAAGGGTTTCAGCTCCCCATCCAGCAGGAAGTGGCTGGCTTCACAAGCCAGGGCACAGGAGAATCGGGTCACAGGCAGGTGCTGATACAACAGGCAACTTCAATGCAACAACAAGTACAGTAGTCACAACTCAGCGAACCCAAAACATCAAATGTACCCCAAGGACTTCTCCTCATTCAACATATTCATTCCTCATTCTTCTAGCAAATTGATATCAGCTACGATGGGAATTAGTAATAAATTTTTTAGCTGCATGAGGCAATGGAAAAAATCACAGGCTACAGATTTGGACTTTGTTCATGCTGTTCCCCTCACCAGCTGCACATGTTGGCACTTGGGCATGTACCAGCAGTGCACAGGCTGAAGGGTGGGGTCAGCCTCCAGTCAGCGGCGGCATGCAACATGCTCTGTATCTGTACTTCTATCGTCTACTTCCACAAAGAAAAATCACAATACTCCAGACCGACTGGTCACGGTCAGGAGCTGAGGTAAAGTGCAACTCCTTGTATGGAAAGCTCCTAATTTAGGGGAGTCCAGGAACTTTATGGCTGCTCCCATCTGTCTCGCACTAACTTGTCTTGGGCAGGTCCTGAAAAGGCACACGGTTCTGTGACCCGCAGCTGCAGCGCCGACGCCTCATAGAAGTCCCTGGGCAGCAGCACCAGATAGTCCTAGAAATAAAGACAAGAAGGACAGTCAAGCCATTTAACAAACTCTTCTTTCATAAGAATATCACCAGACATACTGGGGCCTGCTGGGTAAACTCTACACTTTGATCACTTCTTGTGTTCACTTGAGCACAAGTCCCTCTAAGAATTGGTGTTAACATATCAATGAATGAATTTTTGCTTTCAAATCTCAGCACATATTTTCTCATCTGGGTTTTTCATCAATTAAAAAAAATAACAAATACAATAAACTATTAATTGATTAAATAGTCCTCATAAATACTAGTTACTGTATGGTAACAACCTGGAAAAAGGAGTGCATTGCAGGGTGGGCTGGGGAAAAGGGGAAGGAGGAGGAGGAAGAAAATGTGCAATGATGAACTTTAAAAAAATAATAAATATTAACAAAAGAATAAATACCAGTTATGCTGAATGGTAAACACATAAACAAAAGCCACCAAACAACAATAACCAAAAAAACCACCCAACAACAAAATCCCAAACCCATTACCATCAAGTCAGTTCCAAACCTGGTGACCCTTCCGTGTTACAGGTTAGCTTGCCTTTCCACAGCACCACAGGGTGGATTCGAACCACAAACCTTTCAGTTAGTAGTCATGTGGACTACTCCACGTTGAGTTATGCCACCCTCACCAAACATTAGATCCTTTTTCCACACCAGAAAAACATGCAACGTGTATGGTACAAACATTGATGTTTTACGATTCATACAATGAAAAGGGCCCAGAGCCCCTCCTGAGAAATGAGAGGACGAGTGTGTTCACTGAATGTGCCAAGGTAAGCCTATGACATTAATCCAGCTAAGCAGCTCTTCAGGGAAGAAGCCCAGGATTCTGTGACATGAATCATTTGAAAACTTCCCAGTTCTGGCAGCACCACATTGCCCACTGAGGGAGGGGAGCTGGCCGCTATGGCACTGGTAGACTTTTTCTCTTGGGGGAGACCACCATTTTTTCATAATGGACATGAGTTGAAGCATGTGAGAGGGTGGAAACAGGAGCCTGTGCCACAGTGCAATCAGTGGTCCCCACAGTGGTCCGAATGCCTGGGTGAGATTCATTTAAAATGTTAATGTTGTTGTTGTTATGTGCCGTTGAGTCACTTGCGACTAATAGAGACCCAAAGTACAATAGCCCTAAACTCTGCTCTATCCTGTGTCAATCGCACTGTCTCGGACACACCCATCTGATTACCCCAGTCACTGAATCAATCCACTTCATAGAGGGTCTTCCCCTCCTGCGCCATCCCTCCACCCTCCCAAGCATAGTCCTGTTAATAAGTTTCTGAGGTCAGGATTATGTCATCTCATTATTTTATAGTCCTCTAGATCCTAGTGAGTTCCAGTGGCCTCTCAACAAGAAGCTGTGCTGCAATCCTCGAAGGCACATGGTTCGAGCCCACCAGCTGTTCCGCCAGGCAGAGATGGTCAATCTCCTCTCACGCAATTAACTGCCTCTGAAAACCCACCAAAGGGTCAGCTTTGGATCGGCTTCCATTCGACAGTACACAACAACAGATCCTAGAACAGTAAAGGTCAATGAGAGGCCCTCGGCAAAATGCTAGTGCAGAAAACGAGACAGAATGAGATACAGGTGGTGTTGTTATGGACTGCTGTAGAATCAGAACCAACTCATAGCTGACCCTCCAGTAAGTTTTCAGAGACTGAAAATCACACAAGAGCTTGTCCATATTTCCCCCATGAAGAAGCTGGTAGATTCTAATCACTTGTCTTTAGGTTGACAGGTCTTTACAATTGCACTAATAAAAGTAATCAAAGTTAAAAGTTGAATTGTCAAAAGTTGTGTACTATCTATAATAGTGACCAAAACAGAATAGTGGCTGAGGCTGCTTAAACGCAAACCAAAAATGCCTCATGGGGTTTGTGCTCTTGATTTAGATGTTTAGGGTCATGGTGTTACAGGACATCATGGTTTATTGGCCTAATTGTTTAGTGCTCCTGTTCTACCTCCTAATCAAATTTATAGTACTAACAAAGCTTGAAAGTGGTCATGCAAGGCACAACAATTGCTCTCTGTAATCTGGAGCAACAGAAGGAGGAGAGTCAGGTAAAGGAGGAGGCCATGACATGTCTAGAGAGCAAGAAATAGGACACAGGGGCACAGGGCCATGTGCGTCTTTCTAAAAGGGCCAGAGGGAGTAAGAACAGCACAGCCCTTCACTGTCCCCGAGCAGAAAACAGGTAAAGAGCCCGTAATCCAGCCCCAGGAGAGAGGATGAAAGGCACCCAAGCGTTGAGGACTCTCCTTCATAGGTTCGCTATGAGGCACTTAACAACAATAACATCAACATAGAAAGAGAGATCAGTTGGCCCAGAAGACAGAAGGAGATGCTACAAAGCCAAAGGTGGGTGGCTTTTACTCCGTGGCCCTCAGGCCTGTCTTTCATTGTTATTGTTCAGACATTCCTCTAGGTTGTAAAGCCCTGGGTAGCTGTGAGGCTGAACAATGTGACACTGATGTGTCAAATGTGTTAATGGCTGGTTACCCAATGCGGACAGAGAGTGGGGTGGAGCTCCCCATTAAAACAAGCTTGGAAGGAGGAGCAGCATTCACTTCCATAATAGTTTGCCTCCGGAAATCCTATGAACCTGGAGAGGATGAGAGACACCCAAGCGTTGAGGACTCTCCTTCATAGGGTCGCTATGAGTCGCCTGCTATGAGTCTCCTGCGACTCGAGGGCACTTAACAACAACAACAATCCAGCGCCATAGTGCCTCTAGAGCCATATCAACAGCAAGAGGTCTCTTTGTTTATTTGTTGTTGACTCACAGACTCAAAGTTGTATTCCTGAGAATGGGATTTATTAGGGAAGTAAGTTGGAGAGGCAAAAGAGTATTATTCAGTACAAGTCCAGGTTTTAGCCTGAGTTCCAAGTTGTTGTTATTATGTGCACCCAGTCGCTTGTGACTCATAGCAACCCTAAGTACAACAGCCCTAAACCCTGCTCTATCCTGTGCCAATCGCATTGCCTCTGACACATCCATCCCTATTACCTCAGTCACTGAATCAATCCACCTCACAGAGGGTCTTCCCCTCATGCGCTGTCCCTCCACCCTACCAAGCATGATGTCCCTCTCCAAGTACCTGTCTCTCCTTACAACATGTCCAAAGTATGTCAGACAAAATCCCAGAATCCTGGCCTCCAAGGAGTAGCCTGGTTTAACCCTCTCCAGGATGAATCTGTTTGTTTTCTTGGCAGTCCATGGTACATTCGATACTCTTCTCCAGCACCACAGCTCAAAGGCATCAATTCTCCTTCTATCATCCCTAGTCATTGTCCAACTCTCTGATGCATAACAAGTGAT